TAACACGTTTCTTAAAACAAAACTAATGGCCTAACTGAAACTAATCTTAACGTGAGCTTTTAAAGCGGTTAAACTAATCATATTTTTGGTTTTAAATAATAGAGATCAACTCGTGTCAAAAATCTAATAAACAAACAAAATTAAGTAGTATAATTTGTTTGGATGCAAGTTGTTGCAACGATAAGATTGTTACCTGACAAGGACCTACCTTTACCGACAATGTTCCAAGAAGACGGATTCATTTATAATCGGATCTTGAGTCCTAACACTAGCTCCCCTTTTGTTTGGTAGTAATAAGTAATCCGAGCCCAAATCCGATTAATATTTCGAATTGTGAGATAACCTGATCACGTAGATCTTCTTTCTAGTAGATCTAAAACGTTGCAATATATCAAAATGAAAGAATTCTAAAATACAAATTGAACCCCAAAAAAAATCGAAAATAAACGAACTACTAAACTCTTCTTCTAAAGCTCTCCATCTGAGACGACCAAGTTCTTGTCACACTGATCATCAGGGTCAGCACAAGGTGTGCTCTGGGGAAGATTGAGGCCAGAACACAAGATGTGTGAACAAGGCAAAGTGTTGTGATTGGGCTTGTACTGACTAGCACAAGGCTGCAAAGAAATAGATAAGATTCTCAAGTGAGATCACTGCCAGTGTCAATGTCCAAGTGAAAGTGCTTAGGTGGGTTTCGGGTTTCCTATGTTAAGCAACACAAAATAGTACCTGAAGAAGAAAAATGAAATCAAAGTATATAATATAGTATATCTAACATACTTAATTCACTTTTCACCCTGTTCCTTTCTTTCATGATCTCAATTAAATGTAAAACAAAAAAAAAGAAGATATTACCCCAAATGATTGGAATTTTGAATGTTGAATATTCTACGCAGCCATAATAATGAAGTGAAAGTGAATTAGGGTAGAATTTATAGTTACCATTCATTATCTTGCCCAATCTAAACAATAAACCTATGGTTGGATTTTAAAAATCTAAAATTTTAGACCTTTTTTCAATGTCAAATTTTGTTCTGAGATGTTCCCTATCCAAATTTTGTTCTGAGATGTTCCTTATCCAAATTTTAAATTCGTTTCAAAGCAAAAAACAAAAAAAAATGGTTGTTAAATAATTACTAAGTATATTTTTGTGTTTTTGTATCTTCATCATGAGTTCTGACCAAGTCTATTTTCCCAACCACATATATGATCGGCCGGTCTATTAACTCGGAACCACTAAACAAAATATTACTTCCATTTACAATTTGATCCTTGAGACATATTTCATAATCATATTGCCACATCTAAATTCGAATGTTTTAAGTGATCACAACACAAAGCTCTCGTAAATATATATTCATTTTAACCTAGGCAGGAAAAGATTCCCCTCAGTTTTGTTAAATTATCAAAAACAATTTGTTAAATTATGATATACAATTTGCTGAAGATTGAGCTCTCCTATGTATATTTTTGTATAACATTTTTTTTTTGGTTTAAGTAACATTTTTGTAGTGTAATGTGATTAGTGTTTTTCTACTTGCAACAAGAAAAAATCTGTGTATCTTCTATGCGAGTCAAAATACAACAACACTATGCATGTGGATGATAAAAGATTTACTCTATTGTAAACAACCCTATAATGAATTTCTAAATAAAATCGAACTTCCTGATTTAGAAAGAGAAAGAAAGAAAACTAGATATATGATATGATTATTTTAATTGTTTTGTTGCTATATATATCGAAGACACGAATAATAAATTAGTGTGTAAAGTGAAAGTATAGATTGGTTTTAAATTGAAAGTGAGGTTTGTGAGAGCAACAACAAACATGCCTAACTTGATAAGCTCTATGGTTTGAGAATAATATCAAGATCTTTATCGTGCCAACAAGATCTTTGTGATAGTCATTTTCTCTCGGAAAATGTAAAAGTATTCACCATTTGCAAATCTTAGTAATTTGATAAGCTCTATCTGAAAACTAGGAAAAGGTATCTACCGTGTGTGGAAATTGTTCATTGTTGGTAACCCATTAATCAAATCTACTAGTAATTGGTTGCAAATCTTTGTAATTTTAACACAAAAAAAAAATCTTTGCTTAATAAAAGAAAAATGAATATAAGAACTGTAGTTAAAAGACACCAGTATAGTTATTGCCAATAGCTTAACCAATACTAAAATCTTATACTTAAGCTTGTAAATGTTGGTTTGTGATTAGATTATAGTGGTGGATCACGTTATTATTTGGGCATAATCATGTTGGGAAAATTCACTTTTCAGAAGTTTGGTTTTTGTCCTTCCTATGGTCCAAATTATACTTGGTGATTTTGAGCCGTCAAAAGTCTTCTAACATGTCTTTCATAATACAACGTAACGATGAAAAAAATACAGTGTGACAAAAAATCTTCACATTCACTTAAGCATCAAATTACAAAGATGTACAAAAGATAATGCATTTGCTTTTCCTCAAAGAAAATGGTCATCCCAAAGATTTTCATGGAAGGATAAAGATCATGATATTCTTCCCAAACCCAATTGTCAACAGCTCGG